GAGATTTCATCGGTGTAGTTATCCTCAATTTTTACAATAGCAGTTTGTACAAATTTGTAATGACACGAATATTCTTGTCATCTATTCCGATATTTTTCAGTATTTGCATTAATTTTACATGCTGTACTTTATCGAATGACTTTTCAAAGTCCACTAAACATGCAAATACATCTTTTCTTTGGTCACGGCATTTTTGTAATAGGATGTTAAGCGCAAAAATAGCTTCTCTGGTTCACATAGCATTTCTAAAACCAAATTAGGTATCTTCAAGATCTTCTTCGCATTTGTGTCTAATTCTGTTGTAAAGTATTCTTAGGAAAATTTTTTGAGCCACAGTGTGGCTCATTAGGCTAATTAATCGATATTCTGAACAGTTTCTCGCATTGTGTTTTTTAGGTATTGTGAGAAAAATGGATTTGAGCCAATCTGTGGGAATCACTCCGGTGTTATATATTGAATTAAAAAGTCTTACTACTACTATTTTTATGTTATCATTCTCTATTAGTTTGAGCAACTCAGTTGGTGTATTATCTGGACCACAAGCTTTTCTGATTTTAGTATTATTAATAGCGTGTTCTACCTGCCATTTCATAATTTTTGGGTCGTCAGTACAGTTTTGGTAGAATTCGGTTATATTATTCTTGTCATTTTCAATCAATTCTGATATATATGTAGATGTCATTCTTTTCTTATTTCGTGGTCATTTACAATAATTTTGTCATTATTGTCAACGAGTACAGAGGGAACTCGTTTTTTAAGTATGTTACTCATTTCTTTCAGTTTTTAGTGCATATTAAATAAGTCATGTTTAAATATTACATCCTCCATTTCGTCGCACCTTTCTCTTATCTATTTTTCTTTGGCTAATTTGATCTCCTTTTTTATTCTTCTCTGCAGGTGTCTATATTCTGTTTCATTAGATTTTATCAGTCGACATTGATCCATTAATTTCAAGATGTCGTCTGTCATCGATTTATTTTTTTTTTGATGAAGTTTTTTCTATAAACATTGTTTATGGAGATTTCGTTAACTTGGTTTTTAAATTCACTCCATAGTTCTTCTGGATCTTCTAGTTGTTCTCCGATGTTTTTTATTTTATTGTTAAATTCTTTTTTAATGTTATGCTTTATGTTTATATCGTCAAAGTTAAGTACATTGGTTTTTGGTTTTTGTTGCTGAATTCGTTTTAGCCTTAGTTTTATATCTGCTACAAGTGGTTGATGATCAGATCCAATATCTGCCCCAGGGAATGTAGTGACTTTTTTGACGGCATTTCGGAAACGCTCGTTTACAAGAATACCTATACCTATTTGATTTCTTGAAGAGTCAGGGTTATTGATATCATAAAAAGGATTTTCCAAGTGTATAGTCGTCGCTTGGGTAGTTTATACCAGGTGTTTGCAATGATCATATCGTTTTCTTTACAAAATTTATACAATCTCTGTCCTCTGACCTCGTCGATCTTTCCCAATTTTTGCATTGAAGTTGCCTATATTATATAAAATTTCGTGGTTATTGGGTTTCTGTAAGATGCCTTGGATCTGATCATACAACTTCCCGCCTTCAGCGTCATATTTTCTATCTGCAGTCGGGAAATAGATTTGAAGTATATTAGATAGTGACCACTTTCTTGAAATCGCAAAAATCAAAGAAGAGTTTCAAACCTAAACCTAAAAGAGGATAAGCATTTGAAATAAGACAGAATTAATGATGATAATCTGCGCGTTGAAATCGTTGCGAGAGAGTATATAAGACAAATGGATGAGGAAATAGAGGGCCAAGAAGCAGGGGAAATGTGAAAGAATTGTGAACAAAATGTAAAAATATAATAACTGAGAAGGCATCGGAAATATTGCGGAAAACCAAACCATTTAGACAAAACGAATGATTGGACGAGTAGTACCAAGAGGCAATACACAACAAAAATAGAGCATAAGAAGTGCATCTAGATGCACAAAAAGAGTGAAGGAGAAATACCAGATCCTAAGAAGGAAAGAAAAAAAATTACATATAAGAAAAAGAGGCAATTTGAAAAAATATAGTTAGTAAACATAGAAGGACTAAGAAATCAAAACGAAACTCGAAAGTTCTAACAAAATGTAAAAAAAATGAGTAAAGAGTTTATGCCAAGAATATGAATCTTTAAGAATGGTGAAAGAAATATCCTAAGTGATACGGCTTCAATTTTTAACCGATGAGTTGAATTTTCGACGCATAATTTAATGGCTATTATATCAAAGAACCAGATAATACCGTAGCAAATCCAAATTATTGGAATCACGAATTTGACCTAAACGAAAGAACAGCCACCGTTGAAGAGGTTGTCTAAGCCATTCAAACGCTTAAAAATAATAAGCCACCAGGAACTGATCAAATTTGTAATGAGCTCTACAAGAATGGTGGCGACGCACTGCATAAACTTTTACTTCTTGTCTGGAAAATGAGACCATGCCCTGTGAATAGTCTCAGTGCGTGATATGCCCTTTACATAAAAAAGGCGATCAGCTCCAGTGTGATAAATACAGACAACAGGCAACTACAGACTACAGAAAACTACTCCAGAAAAATCAACAATTGACCAGATTCATTCAATAACACAGATCCACGAAAAAACATTAGAATTTAAAATTGAAACCTATCACCGATTCATCGACTTTAAGGCCGTATACGATAGTGTCAAGAGAACAGTACTAAACCAATCAATTCGTGAGTTTGGTATACCAGAAAAATTTATTTACATCGATTAACGAGAATGACAATGTCTGAATAAAAAGTCAGTGTTAGGATACAGGCAGACAATTCTCAATGCTTTGAGATATAAAGGATGGATTCAGAGAAGGGGATGTCCTGGCTCACATCCTATTTAATATTGCCTTGGAAAAAGCGGTCCGTGGCACACTAATTTGGTATTTACTACCGCCGGGAAAATTACGCCACGAACCTATTCGAAGACGATAGGAGTAGTTCACCTCCCGATATTACTAACTGCTACGGACCCTTAATAACACGCTCTGAGGTTATAAAAGCCACACAATCATCAAAAGATAGCAGAGCGACTGGCCCTGATGAAATGATATAAATTATATAAAGGCTTATAAATGATAGCAATGTTTTAGAGGCTGTAACTTCGTTTTTTAATACCATTTATACCAGCGGACAACTCCCTAATGGTTGGTCTAATTCACTGTTTGTAACTCTACCTAAGAAGACAACAGGAAAAACCTGTGCTGATTATAGAACCATCAGTTTGTTAAACCACTTATTGAAAATTTTTCTGAAGGTAATACATGGTCGTATCTACAATAAATGCGAGGAATACCTGGATGACACTCAGTTTGTTTTCCGTAACGGGTTTGGAATGAGAAAGGCACTCTTTGGAATGAGCGTACTTACTCAAAGATGTCGAGATATATTTGTAGACATATACTGTTGTTTATGTTTATGTGTATGTTATGCGGAATGAACAGAGATACGGCTTGTTGCAACTCATTCTTCAGGGCAAGGTATTTGGAAAGAGGGGACCAGGGAGAAGAAGAATATCTTGGCTTCAAAACCTGAGAAAGTGGTTTAATACATCGACAACCGGACTATTCAGATAGCAGCAAGCAAAGTTAGGATAGCCATGTTGATCGCCAACATCCGGAACGGATAGGCACCGTAAGAAGAAGAGCTGTTGTTTTATTGACTTCCAAAAGGCATTTGATCGTCTTAAACACTCTATATTGATCGAAACTCTAAAAGACATTGGCTTGGACGACAGAGATGTTCGAATAATTGCAAATTTATATTGGAATCAAACAATCAGTTTTAGTAGATGGTGTGAAATCACGGGCTCTCAATATTAAAAGAGAAGTAGGGCAAGGATGCCTCTTGTCATTAAATATAGGTTGCTACAAAATATCTTGCAAGGAAAAATAGCAGGCAAACGCAGTCCACGACGAAGAAGAACCTCATGGTTGAAGAACTTACGAGATTGGTATGGTGTTGATACAAGCATGCTATTTAGGGTGGCAGTAGTAGCAAGAAGAAGAAGGTATTATTTACAATATCCACAAGGAAACTGAGTTCCTATAGCTGGCTGAATACCATGTATCACAAAAAAATTATTTAAAAATCCTTTATAAAAGGTATATAATTAAAACACCCAATTGGATTACATCAAAAAACGTGTTCGTAATCTATATTCCATCATCAGTGTGTCTAAGTGTACACGTTTTGAGTCACTAAATATTTGGGTAAAAACCCGTTAAATTTTTTTAATTTGAATTTAAGTTACATTATTGGGTCCTACCTATATGCTATGATGTTTAAGTTACAATTGGAATTCCAGTTCTCTTGTTAAATCACCTGCTGATCTATTCTTTTAATTTTTTTATTTTGTGAAGATTTCAGCTTATTTTCCTTCTAATTTCATGTATATATCTATATAATCTTCTTCTTATTCATATATTCTTTTTCATTTCGGAATTTTGTATCGACCCTAGTTATTTGTTGCTACAAAATTGTATTAAAGATATTATATTTTTTGTAGTTAAGTTCCAATTAAATATTTAATATTATGTGTTTCAATTTAATTTTAATATTTTTTTAAAAATATTTATTTTAAAACAATCTGCCGTTTAAATCTAGGTAGGAAAGAAATGAATAATAAAGCATAAATTATTCAATGTTAGATATTCTAAAGCTGATTCATGATAAAAATTTTTAGGTAAGTGGTAATCATTAAATAAGCATTACATAATGTTAAAATTGCCCTAAAATTAACAACCAGGAGAAAATCAAACCCATCCTATCTTAAACCAAATGATAAATGATGCTAATAGAAATTCGCGCCTATAATAAGGGTGGTAAACGCGTAAAAGGAAGTGAATAGGTGTGAAGATGAATTTTAGAGGCGCACAAACACGCAAAGTGCCAATCTGGTAACGAGAAGCGTCGTAAATAAGAAGTGGAGGGGAAAATGGGCGTTGCTTAGAGGTGTCAAGCAATATCTAATGGCCATGGACCACAATAATACTATAAGCTCAACTTCTACAGCCACTGAGTTTTGTAGGGCTTATATTAATATGGAAAGGTTACAAAATGATGTTTCTGATGATACTGATGATACAGAAATTAATGACGACAGTGTTGATATCGTTTCGACTAATTGTAATGAAAGACATATAAGTGATAACAACAAATTTTCAATTGATAATATATTAGGAATCGGCAGAGGTAAAGACATGTGTGTGGGAAAAGATGGGAGTAGAGACATACAGAAGTGCTTAGTGACTAAGGTTAAATGTTTAAAACCGACAGCTATTCCAGCCTCAAGAAATACAGGTTTGTTAAATTTTATTTTCACTTTTAAATTATGCCTAGAGACCAATTCTTTGATGCTATAATAGTCCAGGCGGAATCTGTTTTAAATTGGACATTTTCCATAGTAGCCTATTTTTTGCTGGAATCGCTTCAATATGTACATTGTATTAAGAATCGCGATATGCGTCAATCGCAAACCTTGTGCTTAATTTTGTATTTAAGGAAATCTGAAAAAAATCTCAAATTTTTGATTTTTGCGCCCATATCTTTGCTTATATCTCGAGAGATATGGCTCGTACAAAAAAACTTATAAAAGATAAAAGTTTCGCTTTATAAGTTTACATAACATTTGACTAGGTGGAAATTAAAAAAAAATTGTTTATTGTTTAAAAATGGCTCAGACTATATGTGCTGCTCACTGCAGACGATTTCGCTTGATTATAGTGATAATATCTTTTTCTCTAAACTATGCTTACGCCACCATATTCCGTTTTCACATACCTACCGCTTCGAATATCTTGCTCAGTACCTTTGTTTCAAAAAGTAATCGAGGGAATTCATCTATTTTTGTTTTCGGTCAATGCCTCTGATCCATATGTAAAACATGGACTATCAGTGTTCTTTACAGTCTTCCACGAATTTTTTGAGACAGACGTTTGTAAGCTAAGTACTTCGACATATAATGATAATACCTGTTTGCGATTGCAATTGCCTTTTTAATTTCCCCTGATAAGTTATAATTGGGATTAACCAATGGAGATATATAAACTCTTTGACCGCTTCTAAGTTTTGGTTATTGATAATTAGATGTCCGTCAGTATTTTCAGTTCACGTCTTGGTGTTGGTCGGAATAAATTTGGTTTTATTTTGATTTATACGTAATCCTATTCGTTCTGCTGTTACTACCAGCTCGGTTTGGAATTCCGTGGTTCTCGACCTGGTTTTTGTTTGATGCCCACGTCGAAACAGATGCTAAAATTTGTACTAATACATTAAATTTAGTTCCCCTGCTATCCAAATTATCCTCCTACGACTTTTTCTAAGGCTATGTTAAAAATCTGACACGCCAACGCGTGTCTCTATTATTTTGAATTTTTACTGCTGAGAGCATCTACATATTATAAACATATAAGTTTTATTTGTATTCGTTACTTATTCATAGCATTAAATCTAAAGAGATAAAACTACTATTTTTTAAAATTATTTCACCATTTAAAGTTACGAGCTTAGTTGTAGTCATGGACGTATAAATAAAGAATCTTTTCTTTTTAAAGAAATCTTTATTTATACGTCCATGGTTGTAGTAGTAACACCCTCTGCAAAGGCATGTTTTAGATACTGGTTTGTTCTACTAAACTTTAAATATATTTTTCAGGAATTTAACTTCACTATTTAAGTTTGTATTCTATTTTCCTTTTAGTAGTTCTTAATTTGATAAACACTTTAATTATAACAAATATGAATTAAGCACTGAGTAATCTTACTTTCACATGAAATTTACCATCTTACCCCACATCTCTCTAGTTTTTACTCCAGCGTACATATCTCCCACTTCACATACTCACTGGAAACTCCTTTTTTAATGGTTGTTTATTACAAAATCTCTCAAGAAATCATATTATGTGCTTTTCTTAAGATCACCGAAAGAATCAACGGGTTTTGCCATCCTTTCTATATTTTCTGATAGCCATATAGTGAAAATGTCATGTCCTGTTGATCTTTCTTGCATTAATCACCATCAATAATACTATCGGCTTATATTAGATCCTCGACCTTGTCTATTTCGCCAGTTTGTCCTATCCATTTGCCTAACCCTAACTGTTATCAGTTTGCTACACCTATATTTCTAGCATCATCATCTACACTATTTTTCCCTGTAAGTTATGGCCTACCTACAATTTTATCTACTAAACTTTAGTTTACTTTTCACAAGCTCTGACTTACGGATTCATCTAGAAGGGTTGTTCTGCTGTGATCTTGCTAGATTTCCTACCCATCTTAGTCTTCCCATTTTATGAGAGATATTACGTCTTTACATCCAGATATCTGTTGGCATTTGTGATACATTTTAGTAGTATTCAGTATCAGTACCTTTTTCTCTAAACACCTTTTTCACAGATGCCACCGAATATTTCTCTTTTTCATTCAAATATGAGCAAGAAGTTTTCATCTTTCTTAGAGATCGTTTATGTTTCTAATCCATATGTTAGTGCTGACAGTATTAGGGTTTTCTATCTTGTTATTTTTGTTTTCTGACTAAGTTTCTACTTTTCATGTACTTACGTAGCCCAAAATACCACATTTGCTAGAATTATTCTTCGTTGGATTTCTTCCGTTATGCGGTTGTCATTAGTCATCAGGGAGCTTACGTATGAGAATTTGTCTACTACTTCAAAGCTTACTATTAGTGAATTGGGAACCGATGTATCTGACTCTGTTGTTAGGTTTTAATTCAGCAGTTTGGTTTTTTCTTTATTAATTTGTAACCTATATTTTTTGAGGCATTTGAGAAAAAAGTGTACGTTTCTTCCAGCTTGCCTATTATATGAACAATTAAGTCTAGATTATCTTCAAAAGCCATAATTTGTGAAGATTTGTTACAAATATTTCCTCTATTGTGTATTCTAACTCTAACTGCCTTTTTCAAGACTATGTTGAAAATAAAGTATGCCAATGCATCTCCCTGCTTCAATCCGACATGCGTTTCAAACGCTTGTGATTGTTTCTGTATTTCTACTTTACAAACATGCTATTTATTGTAGCTTTTACCAGTCTATTTTATTGGGAATATAGAATATTTTATTGTGTACCGTACTTCTTGAATTAAACGGGGTTCTAATGGTGTATTGTTTTTTGCTAGTGGAGGTGGCGGATTTTCATCATCAACTTTGGTGGAAAATAGCTATTTATAATGTTTCACCCACCTATCTAATACGTCCTCTTTTGTGTTGAGTATATGTCTTTCCTTATTTTTACATATTCTCAGCCTGAGTTTAAAATCTTTTTTTTTGCATTTTTTTTTAATTTATAGAATTTTAGGGTTTGGTTTTGTCTTTTCTTAAGTTTATTTTTAATATTTCATTTTCAAAAGCTTGCTTGCATTTTATACATCTTAACTGATTTTTGTATATTTTGATTGCTTTACATATCAGTATATAATTTACTTTCTCCCATATTTGGAACCTAAGGAACGCCAAGATTGCCAAGTATACAAGACAATTTTTCACTCATCCAGTTTAATAATTTGTCATGTTCTTTCGTACCGTACCTTAATTTATCCAGTAGAAAGTTTTAAGTACATAATTCGTAACGATGATGCTAATGGTTGACAAAACGAAAACTTTAAAAAATTTTAATATTGTTTGTTTTTTTTTTAATTGAATTTATGTTGTGCATTCCAAAAGTAAATTGATATGATATAATTTGTATGTATCGCAGGAATAAACATATCAATGTGTGTGATATCGGGCGACTGATAAATCATCGGCCCAGAGAACCTTACCTAAGATCGTTGCTTTTAATAGGGATTATATTTACATTTTTCTTCTTCAAGTTCCACTCCTATCGGAGATTGGAAATCATTTTGGCAATTATAATTTTATTGGTTACTCGCCTGAATAGTTCAATTGAACTGCATCCAAACCATTCACGGAGATTGCGTAGCCACGAGATTTCTTATCCGGAGCGATATATTAATATCGCGATTACAAAAAAGTTTTCTCATTCTATTAAAAGTTGATCGCACAATTTCAATGCGGCATCTTATTTCTTTTGTCTGATCAATATCTTATGTGATCCATGCTCCAATGTATTTGTACGAAGATATTTGTTCAATTACTGTATTATCTAGTACTAGCTTAACTTTGATGTTTTGTGCTTTTGTAAATACCATGAACTTGGTTTTCTTCAAATTGATTTTTAGTCCATAATCGTTGCAATATATATTTAGTTGTTCAGTAAGGTATTGTAGTTCTTCTAGTGTTCCTGCTAGAAGGACGATGTCGTCAGCCCATTTTATGTTATTAAGTGGCTCACCGTTTATTATAAGGCCCTCACTGATCTCGGCAAGCGCTAATTCTGAGATGGCTTCACTGTATAAATTGAATAACAAGGGTGATACAATACACCCTTGGCGGACCCCACGGCGAATCTGGATATCCTTGGTCAGTTCGGTTTCAACTTTCACTTTTGCTGTTTGATTCCAATAGAGGTTACAGATGATTCTAACGTCTCTAGTGTCTATGTTTTTATTTAATAAAGTTTATTTAAGTCGATTATGCTGCACTCTGTCAAATGCCTTCTCAAAATCAATGAAACATGCATATACTTCCTGATTAATATCTAAGCATCTCTGCGAAAGAACACTTACTGCAAACAGTGCATCTCGTGTTCCCAGTCCTTTCCTACATCCCATTTGTGTATTACTTATGCCTTCATCTAATTTCTTATGAATTCCATTGTGAATTACTTTTAAAAACAATTTCAAGACATGACTCATTAAGGCTATGGTGCGATGTTCATTGCACTCCTTTGCATTGGCTTTTTTGGGAAGCAGTATGAATGTTGATTGGAGCCATTCTTTAGGTATTATACCTGTTCTATATATGGTATTGAATAGATCCAAAAGAAGATCAATAGATTCAGTATTTACAATTTTAAGTAATTCGATAGGAACTTCATCAGGCCAGGGAGATTTACCACCTTTAGCTTGTTTCATTGCATATTCAATTTCTTCTCGTATAATACCAGGCCCAGTACCATCCTTAAATTCTTTTGGTGCTTCTGTTCTCTCTTTATCTTTACAAAGTTGTGCTATATATTGTGTCCATCTCTGCATTTTTTGGTTTATATCTGTTTCAAGTGCACTCATTTCATCTCTTAGTTGCCTAGTTTGAAGTGTTTTTCTTATTCCTGTTAATTCTCTAATTCTTTTATGCATGTTAAAAAAGTCATATTTTTTCTCAATTTCTTCTAGTTCTTGGCACTGCTCATGTAACATTCTCTCCCTAGCTTCTTTTATT